CGCTGAGGGAAGGGGGTCGCAGCGGCCTCCCGGGAGGGGGGAGGAGGGGTGAGAGAGGAAGGGGCTGCCAGTTTGTGGTCAGTTTGGCCAGGGACCCTGGAAGTCTTTTGTCACCTTCTTGGCGTGGAGCCGCGATCACTGTGCGTGGGGTGGGGGAGGAGGTATTTGTGGATTTCCTGCCCTGTGCAGACGGGGTTGGACTCGATGACCCTGGGGGTCCCTTCCAATTCTGTGGTTCTGTGACGGAGCGCCCCTGCCGAGAGGGGGCCTGCCCCTTTCTTGGGTTTCTTCTGTCCCCACCTGAGCTGTCAGCGGGCAGCCGGATGCCCCGCCCCCTCGTGGGGGGGTGCCAGGGGGTGGAGGCAGCCGTGAGGGGAGCCGCGGGGGTGTGTGTGTGGCCCCGGAGCCCGGAGCCGCTCCTGCTGTGGCTGGGGCTCCTGCCCTGTGTTGCTCTTCCCTCTGGGCCCGGCATGTCCGCAGGCGTGCCCAGACCCTCTCGGCCCGTGCCTGGGGTTGGCTGCCACCGAGCCGCTTTTGGCTGCTTTCCAGGCGACCCCTTGACAAGTTCCCAGATTCCCAGGGGGGAGGGGGAGGGGGCTTTGTCCCCTGGCACGCAGCCCGCGCTCTTCTTATCCAGGTCTCGTGCTGCTGCTGCTGTCACTTGACCCGGTGGGGGACGGGGGACGGGGTGACACACAACTGCATAGTCATGCGCCTCCACCCGTGGCGCGTGAGGGTTTCCTGACTCCGGTAGGTGAGAGAGAGAGAGAGGGAGCCCTCCCGCCTACTGTGGCTGTCCTGCACTGTCCTCTGCCTCAGGCAGAGAAGGGGGAGGGGAGGCGTTGGGGGTCACTGTGCACCAAGAGGGAGGAACAGGGTTCCCCTCTCAGCTGAGTCGGTGTGAGCCGGCTCGCAGTTTTCCAGCCTCCGGCTCACACCTTTTTGTCTTGGCTCAGGAAGGGTGGGGCTCCAGAGCAAACTGATTAGTGCAGTAGCCACATCACCCGCTCACAACTTTTGATGCCGGGAGCTCCCAAAGTAGAATTTTTGCTCACAGGGCTCCACCGCTTAGAGGGCGTATTGGGGAGGAGTTGTATTGGGACCAAATGTGATGCGTGGAGAAGAGCCCCCCC